ATGATATCATATTGCGCAATACTTCCGAGAACAGGGTTGGTAGGTGGGAAAGACAAGCAGCAGAGGCAAAGGATACTTACAGCATGAACACTACTGACGTCGGCTCCTTAACATATCAACCAGTGTATCAAACCAATGGTGTTCACCATCTTTGGGACCCAGGATTGCAGACTGGAAAAGCCGATCAATATAATGTTCGAATTGAGGGTTTTCATTTTTCTTGACCAAGGCATCGCTTTACCCCCTCCTCTTCTTCCATGCACAACCCTGACACGCAAACAAAACACGTTGCGGGAGTCAGTGCGTTGGCATACGCAACATTTGGCGCAGCCATCAAAGTCTGGTGCGTCGTATAACGGTACTGAGTGGTTCACTCTCCCTTCCTGTAACGTAAGCAAGACGCCGAACACTTGTTGCTCACAAGGTGTACCCACCATACATAGACCAAACTGCGAAGACAGCGATGGATGAACGTAACATGCCTGGTTTCACAACCGTACAGGAGGGTTGGACGCGCGACTGTATTATTAACACCACCCTTCAGAGCGAGATTAATGATGGGCTGACGCAATCGACGTAAGAGATCGGCAAAAGCGCCTCGAGCTTTTGCTATACGGCTTGCGATCTCATCTTCTATTCCACTGGCCCTACTATGTCTGCCAAGGTATTTGAATTTCTCGACGAGTTCAAGTTGATCCCCACCGAAGGTTAGTGAAGCAACGGGCCCCTGCCAAGCTTGGAGATGGATTTTGCCTTTCGAGGATGCAAAGCAATGTGCAAAGCGACTGGCAGCCAATGCTAAGTTGTCCAGTATTGTTTGACACGTAAAGGAACTGGTAAATACTAAGGCGATATCGTTGGTACATTACAAGGCATGAAGTCGATCACTTGGGAGCAGCTCCACATCTTCCAAAGTGTGCTCAATAGCTGCAGTTTCCATAACATAATGTCAAAGTTAAAAGGGATGGGTGACAGCCAGCAACTTTGCTTCACGTCGCTGAAGATACTGAAGGGCAGCGACAGTTTATCGTAAGCAATCAAACTGTCCAAACTGTGCGCGTACAGCGCGATGATAATGTATTAGTTTTGCAGACAGTACCCACCGAAACGAAAGCACCTTTGATGTCGAGGAACACGACTACAGCAGGCAGCCAATCAACATAGCGGTGTTCCAACATATAACGTAATGTGAAGTTATGATCTATATGGTTGCGATTTCGACTACACCCGGCTTGCTATTCACGAATCTGGCTTTCATGGGTGCCAGTCAGTCTATGGAGCACGACAGAGGTTATTAACTTATAGACAGTTGGGATAAAACATATCCTCCTGTGACTGCCCCATTCCGAACGTGAGCCCCACTTCTAAAACTGCGACGATAAAGGAGCAGCTCCAGTCTGCTGGGCCAGTTTTCTACTCCCACAGCTTCAACAGTGTGTTGTGAGAGCAGGTCCCCAGCGTTTGAAGGGGGCTGGAGGAAGTATATCTGCTCCTGCTGCCTTAGTCAACATCAACAGTCTGATTTTCCGTCCAACACCCGTCCGTGGGGGCGGATCCAGTGGGACGGCGCAAGAGGAAGAGCGATCAATGTTCTAGAAGAAAAATGATCACCAGTTGATTAAACTAGTTTTTAACGTTTTCGGTCCAAAGCTCCAAGCGTTTTGACATGCTGTGCGTTGGCTGTCACTATCGTCGCGTATGGTTTCGCTACCACCAAGACTTTTGCTACCTGTTTCCCCGGATCAGACGGAATAACTTCCGATGGTTACTTAGGACAACGAGTGTATCCATTTCGCATACACGAGGAGACCACAAAACTTCTTTGTCCCCCCTCAGACTAGCGCGCAGTCTAGCCATGCTATTTCCATGAGTCTCGTTGGCTTCGATTCCTGCCGGAACACATCGACGAGTGTCCAGAAGTTCCAGGGACTGTGTAAAGGTTCATCGTTACGTTGGCAAGTTGAACTGCCATATGAAAACATCCTTCCTGCTAATGACGTCTAGCGAATAGGTGGGCAGTGATATTCAACTGTGTTCATTAAACGCCTACACAGATCAGATGTCAGCGTACTTCGTTACGCTTTCAGAACATCTGAATTCTCTACTTGATAAGCGTCTACGCGTTCACAGCGCTGTTGCGTATGTTGACTGAATCATATCCGCAGTTTGGCACGTACAAGTGCGTGAGCAGAGTTCACGCTTGTGCTCTAACTTAAGCGACAGTTTGGGACAGAGCCTCCAGCGGTTACTGATCCTGATGTGATCGATTTGCGTCCATGGCTGCTCCGATGCTGATGAGCGCTACGTCACCCTTATGCGGGTGCTGTGTCAGAAGTTAATGGTTGCACGAAATAGACGAGCGTCTTCACACGGATGTAGTAACCACTCATCGTTACCGTCACGAGAGCTTACACCGTATTGGGCTGGCAGATGTTGCTCATTAGTGGACAATTTTCCAACCTAAGTGTTTAAACCACTAGCAAGCACCGAAGTGTATGTACATTTTCTGCACGTTTAGTTAATGGTAGAAGTTATCTTTCACTGAGTCAGCGCTAAATTTGGTGGCGACGCAAGTAGCAGTGACAAGCAGGCACCGTTTGTTCCCGCTCAACTTCGAAGCTTTAAATGAGCCGGACAATATGACAGTGCACATTCGGCTGTATATTGAGATCAAATCAGTCTGCCAATCTTCATTCCGGCTGCCCAGAACAATGCCCATACCGGCTTGACCAGCATTTGTAACTGCGTATTCTCTGGATAAACGCATTCAGAAACCTTCGGTAGTATCGCTTGTGGGCAATCGTAGGTAAGGCCCAGAGCTGGGGCCATGCAGGCGCGTTTCCGATAAGCAGCAGGTAGCGATCATTAGGGTCTCTGGTGTTCGGACATTGCTGCTTGTTGGTCAATCTACAACAAAGTATACCAATTGAGGCATGCCAGCCTCAGGGATGATCGAGGGCTCTAAATAGAGATGGATGAACTGATGTCTGTTCCGCTGGACGTGGACTTGCCAACTGGACCAGAGCGACGGCCTACGATTGCGTGTGAAGTGAAACTAGAAGAGAAGCAACTATGAAAGCAAGATGATGGAGGATCGTGAATTGAGGGGTCGGCAACTGTGGATAAAACGGAATTGGGAGTGGGACAATGAAAATGAAAGTGTACAAGAGGGAAACAAGAAGACCAGATGGCTTGTGAAGTCGTATCCTCACCCCTATCCACATTGATAAAAGGAGCAGATAGAGCGCCGTCGTTTATCTGTTGTGACAGTCAGAGCATCAAGAACTTGTTTGAAAACAATTCGTTGCATTGTGTGGGCAGGATAATATCAGGTTTCTTAGGTCTAGACCAGAGAAAGATTGGGGTACTCAACCAATACCTCTGTTTCAAAAAGCTGACCGTACGGCGGTGGGCGTTTTTAATGAGCTACAGTGTCCTGGAGGAGTCTGATTTTTCAAGCTTCTATCGATTGACTAATCTGGTATGTATAGCTCTGGAGGTGCAAAAGCGCCATCTAGCGTAGCCCATTGGTCCGCTGAGGCACCTAAAATATCCCACCATGTCCGATCTCGTTTCGGTAGATAAGAAGAGGTAACTGATGCACGAATGAAACGTGATTTTCCGTTACCTCTCCCTTCTTATGCAAACAGCACTTAACACCGTATATTCTCATGATTTTTGATGACCATATGTATTCTTTTGGTGAGTGAACATATATGTTTATGTACATTGATAAGCCGGAGCAATTTTTGTCCCGTTCACCAACTGATGTACTTGCAGCCATTTCGTTTAAACAGCACTTGATTGACTTCCCGTCCGTTGGTCCAGAGTCGGGTCTGTCCTCGAAACTGTCAGCCACCACCACAGATTGTGAAGTTGCAGCGTCTAGGTAGTATCGGACATAACTGGCGAGTAAAGCGAACGAGTTAGTTTGCACGGTATCAATCCTTCTAGCAAGGAACTGGATAGTACTTTGAACTTGGTTTGTTACTTTGGGATTGGTACCTTTAGGCCGTTAGATGATTCATACCTGTGTGAAGTTTGCCAATATTGTGTACGGATGCATGGAAACCAGGGAACCTCTGGTGGCCAGCAGGTGGTGTGGTTAAAGTGTAAGAAAAAGCTATCCGAATTACTTGGTCAGGCTGGTATGTCTTATTCCTAGCTGTCAATTACGGGAAAGAACCTGCTGGTCGCTGCAGGCGCTTTCCGACATGGACCAGTAGTAAAGGAAATAGCAATCTTGAATCCCCCTGCAACGGATCCACTAAATAACTTTACTATCCAGTTGCTATAACTTTCCTCTTCATTCTTCCTATCCATATTTTTGTCAGCATGTGCTAGCGTTAACTGTCTATACGTTCCACGATTTATTGATCGATAAGTGCAATGAATGTCATGGCGATTCTGGCTGCGACAACGGAAATTATCAGGATCCGACACTCGGATTATAGCCAGTTAATCATCCGGTTAACACGAACCACCAAGCTATCTATGCTGAAGTAACAGTCACACCATCCCAAATGATAATTTCTGTGCCCCTAGCTGTCCGAGTGAGGTAAATTTCGTTCACATAACAGACACTCAGAAAAATTTCACTGAAGCCATGACATATGCCCTGAATGTATTATTCCTGGTCGCAGATACCATGCAATATCGTTAGAAATTGATGTTCAAAACTTCATACCGCATTACTGAAGACATAAGGATGTAATTAAAAATTTTCGAGAGACGCAAATTCTCTCAATGTGCTTACTGGGACGGCCGGGGCGCACAAATTGCTTATTTGCATTGAATGATTGCAACTATTTATCATAAGGTGGCTTACCGTAAACTTGCACCGACAGGGTGAAAAGATAAGTAGTCTATTAACAATTGTTCCATCATCTTCACTATGTGCGTTACACAGTGGTTGTGTAGATTTTAAGCGTCAAAATTTACACGCAGTCAATGTGGTCAAACCGTGTCATAACACTAGAGGAAAAAGAGAATTCACAACACCTGGCTTTTATTGATATTTAGTTTTTCTGATGAGAGATGGTGTACATGATGAAAAGGGCATGACAAGAATTTTATACTGCAAGTGTATAGTGCAGTAGCGTATTGTTACACGATCCATTCAGAAACACCTTATTGAGGACAGTACATAACTGATAAAAGATGACGGAATCCAAGGCACTTTGTTGTAAATGAGAGGTAAAGCACGATGGTGAGAATGTATCATACTTCAGTGGAACTCAGTGAGCGAGGAGGCCTGCGAAGTTCCAGCGGATCAATTTGTTTCACAGGGTGCACGAAACCATTGTTTACTTGCTCAAGATGTCCAGTCGATCGAAGCTTGTGCGGTGACAATAGTTGGTCAGCAGTATTCCATTTAGAAGTGAAATCCGAAGCAGTGATGCCCATCATCTTGAGACGTCTATTGGTTACAACAACGCGCTGTACACATGCGATGCTAATCAATGTAGCAACTAGCAACAATGCAATACCAACATAGAATATTGATAAATGAGCCGTAGACCCAAAAATAATGGTAAGGCCGACTCCACCGGTGCACAACAGCAGACCTAAAATGCCAATAACAATAGCGAAACGGGAAAGAAGGCTGGCGGCCGCTAACTTCTCACAATGGGAATACAGTGGTTTGTTGAATCCTTCAAGTCTAGCGTCATGGCGCATTCTCTTGTGCATATCAACATGAAGTGTATTCAGATCATGGACGAAGTTTAGGTGCTGAAATCGCTAAATAGAATAAGTATGTTCAGGGAATATGAGTGAATTGGAATGTAACTTATTTGTGACCAAATACCTACGAAAAACTAGCGAATATTCTGACTATATTAATGAAGACAGCGGAATAAGTTGCTCTGCAAACATTCAGCAGGAAAATGCAGCACGGATCAAACACCATATGGCAGCATAAACTAGTGAGAGTAAGACTTGGTAGTAGCATTAAAGTGATGCATCATTATACAGATGCAATCCAAAGAGACCTTTTTGAATTCATGACCTATTTTAGCATAATTGTGTATCCCCGCACTACTCAACTTCCTGTTCGTCGTTTCCCATCAGTCAAGCCAATGAACTACGATTAAAGTGCCGAACTGCGATAGAACCAGATTTAGTAACTTGCAACTACTAGAAAGTTGGAAGGACAAGAAGGTGATACAAATGAAAATAAGCAACAACTAAACGAAAATATGAGGAGCAGAATGAAAGCGAATGAACTGTGCCAACAAGCCAGAGGACGTTATTAGTAACTACAGCCAATCAAAAAGATTCTGTGATACAAGTCCTTTGATGAGCATTTGTATATTACCCTGTTGCATGTTTTAAAATCGTATTAGGCTAAGCAGTATACTTAAAGGAATTATATATATATATATATATATATATATATATATATATATATATATATATAAATTCCCATCAGGCAACCGTTGAGACCAAGTTAGTGGCACCCAAAGCAATGCTATTGCCAGTTATTTTTAACAATAATGAAGCAGGAAAATTGTAAGGGAAATGTTTTTCATATTTGGAACGATTTCGTTAACAATGCGTCGGATTCTGCTCATCCGTTGATGTAACAGAGCAACTGACAATAAAGTTTGCCTCAGTAGCAGCATGTACGGAACTGCATGTTGCTGCTGCCCGGCCTCATGAGAATAAGACATGACACAGTCGCTCGCAGTATAGCAAACTGAGTGGATGCAAACTGAGACCACGATATCAGGACAAGATAAAGGTGCGTTTATTACGTCGGTTGGGGCCTCCAAGCTCCATGGTTGGGGCCGAAGGACGATGAACACGTTTGGCTGGATACACCTGTTGACATGGCTAGAAGGCGACCTCAAGGACGTCTGTGTTGTGAGTCCTTTCGGCCTTCCCCTTCCCGCTTGGTCTCTCCTTCCACCCACGTTCTCGACTATTAGGGATAGTATGACTACTGTGCGCCCCATAGCTGGATGTTAGCTCTCCGGAACGATATCCATCCGTTCCTGGTTCCTCTGCTTCATGTTTTTTGCTTTTCTTTTGCATTGCAGCACAATAGCTCAGGTGTTTTCCACCTGCGGTTAACGGGAATAATGATGTTGTTGATGAATTTATCACAAGCTTTTGTTGAGTTTAGATGACGAAGACAAATGGCAAAGGATCTCCGCCAGTGTAGTGATCATATTGAGGTCACCATTGCCCTGGTTCACGAGGGAGGACTACTTCTTCAGTACCAAAAAGGCCGGTCACGCAAACCTCAGGTGCCCATGGGACCCATCTCGTCGACATCTACATATTGTGTCGTGACACAGGCGGTCTTGTGGGTCTCCGCGAAGCCAGTGTGTGGTGCGGACGCACGTTTTCCTCTCTTGCTCCACATGGATGTTCACCACCGAGTAGTGCGCCATGCCTTGCCAATGGGGCTCACTCGATGAGACCTACCCACTTATCCTAACTCCCAGTATATCATCTACACCTTCTCGCATGGTGCTTATGAGCAGAAACACGCGCACAGCGCCATCATCTTTACAATTCACGGGACTATTTTCCACCTTATCTTGAAGACAATTCTGAGAGCTGTTCAACGAATCATAAATCAGTCTAGTCTAAGGCTGCTTAGGGCAGATAAGAACAAAGTTGATACAGTCGTTGATTTCGAATCACGTGCAAAGTGGACTGAAGCTAGTTGCAGTCCTCTTACTCTGTTTCATCACCCATATTCGATGAATAAACAGTGCCATCTTCCGATCTCGACGGAGTCCCGTGACCTGTCTTGACGTTCGACAAGAATGTCTTGTAGTGCCACGGGAGATAATTAGAGTTCAGTTCATAGGGCAACACCAAACCTCAGACGAAAAGATTATAGTCAAGCGACGGTTAAGTTTAAATTTCGGAATAAGTAAATTTTAGCGAATTCGTCCATAGCAGTACAAGTTGAAGATGAACAAAACGACGGTGAGAGCGACATAAACGCTGGTTCCCAGGTGTGTTTTCGAAATTTGTGAATTCCAACGAAGTGATCGAAGAATGTCAGACGCAGTTGTGTTGATAAAAAAGTGGGGTATTAATAACCAATGCTGTATGTTCAGCGCAAATCAATTTTCTTAGTTGGATAGGTAAAATCACAGTTTTGTTTTATTTATGTTTAAACTTTTGTTCGCACGCTTACTTCTTCATAGCCTCTTGGATTCTATACCTCACGTGCGAACATTTCGTTCTTCCTTACAATTTGTTTTACATTGAATTCTTGAGATTGCTTATTTTCTATGCAGCTGACCTTTTTGTCCGTTAAGTGACAACTGTCAGCTATACTTCCGTAAATAGGCTAGTCCTTCGGTGCATTAAGCCACAGGATGTTGGCTTTGGGAAATCGCAATAAGATACCTCCCACCAAGCATCGTACACTGCGCTTGAAACATGAATGACTAATCTAAAAGTTACCGTGTCTGAACCACTGAGGTATTCCGTTGTTTACTCAAGAGAATCTCCTTACTTAGGCAGAAATTTCTGTAGGAAACAATGGTATCTCCAGCTCAAGCCCGCATATGGAAGATATGATATGATATGGAAGATCTGTGTATATACGTAAAAAATAATTAAATAGACGTTTTATTCCTCGAGTTCAAGCCACATACCCATTGAGTGGTCTGATGAACCTGTCCAACGTGATCGCATAATATAGTTAATTTTATGTGTTTTTACAAAGGTCCCCATATGGGTTTTTGAGGTGATTAGCAGTTTGAAAGTAGTAGAGAGCTTAAGAGACCGGGAAAAATAACAATCTAGATTTAAGCGAAAATTCAAGTAAAGCACTACCGCCATCCATGGAACTGTCCCCAGGAGGCCTGCTTTCATGTAGGATATTTCGTCGATGGGTTTCACCCGCACTTCCATGCTCCAGCTGGCTCTGTGCTGGTGTGGCAAAATAGTAAATAGACCATCAGCTTGGTAACAAATGTTTTTTTTCTTAAGGGCAGTTTTATGCGTACATTGTGGGCGATGAAGCCTCAGCATGTTCCATCATGTGGATCAATCAAGTATGACACATTTTGTTATAATCCAGCGAGTCAGTAGCAGTGTTATTTGTATGGGTATAAGTTTTTAGTTTGGAAGCTGTAATCCGTCATCTCAAGAGACCAACCCACTCTTGACCAACCATTAAACAAGGAAGAATATAAAGCACGAGGGATTAAAAAACCTACTAATGAATACGATCGCTTGCCGATAGGTCAAGCGAATTTGATGAAAAACCTTGGCAAGTGACGAAGATGGAACAGAGCCATCAGCTTGAAAGGCGTAGTGTATCTTCGAACCAGTGCATCAAAGGAGAAAACAGAATTGGTTTGACGGAGTGATAGGAGTAAGATCCTTTATAGATACATACTCAAGAATCCAACTGTATGAACAACGATGAACAATGCTTTATTACGGAAAAAAGCTTGTGTTGACAAGTCCCCTAGGACGGTTGGAGTAAAAAGTAAACTTTGAAGGATCATCAAATAAGTAAATTGTTATTTCAAGCGTCCGCCGAGTTAAATGCACTAATTCATAACGGCAGTTTGAAGTGGGAATGGGATGTACACACGCAAAATACTATATAGAGCTGTTATAGTTCAGTAAATGCTTGAGAAATAAAACCTTAAACGACAATACTCACAAGTTTATTTTCTTCATTTGACAGACGTGGTATGGTAATCTAGTCTAGCTACATCCAGGCTAATCACACGGATAATTCTGCATGTATCCTCACCACCACGTTGCGTAGAGTGCCGTTAAGCATATGGTTAGATTTGCGTTATTTCGTCCTCCAAATGGAACGGACTATATCAAGTATCCAAGTGTGAAAGCCTTTCACCAAGGCGTTTATTGAAAAGCGTTAATGTAGGGGCAAGGATAACGTGAGTCGGAAGGGCATTCCAGGCACGGGACACACGGAGGAAGAAAACCTTTCATCGACAATCAAGTCGACTGTAGTGCGGAGCCATGTGGAGCTGATGGCATCTCCGGTTGGTACTTCGGCAAGCTGCAACAGACTGCGACATGGGTGAATTGGATTCGTCAGCATTAACTAAACCAGGATTAGGTCGCCTCGCTGACGTCGGTATTCATCACTGTACAATCTCAGTGGCATGGGTCTGCGTTGGTAGGAGAGATGAAACAATCCTCTACCGAGTTTGGTCGCTCTACGTTGTGGAGTTTCAAGTGCATCGACGTTGCGCTTGCGCCAGGGACGCTGGGCCTGGATCGCATATTCCACGTAGTCTCACATAGGCGTACAGCATTTGCTGAAAGATTGATGGCTCAAAATTGCCGGAAACCCTCCATAAGAGTCCAAGTGGTTGGTTGGATCTTTTTGATTCCTTTTCAGACTGCCTCGAGCAACCAAGGTCGTCTTGAACGATCACCCCAAGGTCCTTTTCTTGGGAAGCAGGTTGTAACTGCTGGTCCTCAAGTATCTATTCATAGATAAGCTTATGACGAATGCTTAGGGCCTCGCACTTCTTCACGTTGAACTGGAGCCGGTTGTCGGATGACTAAACACAAGCCCTGTCCAGATCGCTCTGTAATTCCATGTGATCATCTGCTGTCCTGATATCATACCATATTTTGATATCATCCGCGAATAGCAAGAAATTCGACTGTATGACGCTCCCAAGATCGTTAATGAATGCTGAGAATTAACGTGGCCCCAGTACCGATCCTTGAGTCACACCACCCTGGACGTCAATTGGGTCGGA